AATGGACGAGGAAATTAAATTTTTATATGAATGACGTATCTAGAATTTCATGGATCAGTAATATGACCAATTTAGCCTTTTGGGTAAAAGAATGAAGGAAGCAGGTATTAATTCTTAACAAAACAAATCATGGTAAGTTGAAACCCGACAGATTCTATTTTTTTTTGTTAAAAATGAAAACTGGTATTTCTTATGCAGGTAAACAAATAGATCTAAACTCAAACGGAAAACATTTGTTAAACGTTTTAAGAATCGGACTTTTTAATAAGTAACAAAACAAAAGATGGATACAAGGTTAAGCAAACATGTTCAGGACAAAACTAAACAAAATGGCGCCAAAGCTTGCAACCAATCCAAAGGCCTCACTTGTTGGTTGGATTTTTGTTGTTGGCTCCGGAACCTTGTTACACAGTTTGCCTTCACAACAGTCAAGTGAACAATCGGTCACCATGCCCGTCGAGTTGACCAGTTTGCATGCTGTAATAAAAAGAAAGGAAGATTTTCAATTATGAGTGTGCTGTGCTCCACCTTTCCATCTCCTGGCTTTTTCACCCCAATTCAACAATCAAGGTTAAGTTTGAAAACTCAAGTAAGGCAGGCAAAAAGTTGATCCAAGTTATAGCTAGGCACGGCAATTTAAAGCAGCTCAGTCACGGAATTTTAAATTATTTTGACCAACTATCAGCTTTAAATTAAAGGAAATTGATAATTGTAGTTTACCAAGAGAGAAAAACACATAAGAGATTATAATAAACCATAAAGTAACAAGGATGGCTAATGATGGAGAAGATGCCGGAAGATCCACAGGGGTGGTACACCCAGGAAAATTGGGTGAGGGTGTGCGGCCTGCTTCCCAAAACCCTTACCCTATTGATGACCAAAATTTGCGATTTTCCGCTCCCTATCTAAAACCTGACCAAAAATTTGATACCTTATTTATGACCGTTGTGGCTGGCTCAGTTGCCCTAAACATAATTTTATAAAGGACTTTTGTTGATGGTCTTGTCGATAATGATGAAAAAGTAGGTTATTCTATCCAATTCAGGACTAGAGGGCAAAAATCATACCCTATTTATGATCAAAACGGCTGAAAAAGCCGCACATACCTACAGGTATATAGCCCATATAAGGAAGTACTCCCCTCTGGGAGATTAACACGCATTACAAACGAGGAACTTGAAAAATTTAGGCTCAACTTTTCAAGATGCGCAAATCGTGACCTTTACCTTAAGGGTAATGCCTTCATGAGAAACATCATCAAGCATAATCGACTAAACAATAGCCAGCGAACAAGCTCCGGGCCAGCGCGCCACCCTGATTGCTTCGTTCTCCGAATCCTGCACTTTCGCGCTCTTTGGCTCGCTTTGCTCGCCGAATTTTTCACCGTCCTCGCCGGGAGCCTGTTCGCAGGCTAACTGAATGTGTAGTAACCATTCTTGCACTTACTATTGAACTGACTGTTCGAGTCACACGAAGCGCTGTTGGAACAGTTCCTTTGCTCGACTGACCTCGAGCCCAATTGTCCAAGATACATGGTGTATTTCACTGTCATGCATCTATTGAACAATAACGGATCGCAGGTAATCTTTTCAGCTTTGTCGCTTTCACACTTGGCTCCTCCAATAAGTTCTGGCTGGTTAGTACACGCATAGCATTCAAGAGCTGTCAAAAATAAGAAAAACAATAATGATAGAAAATAAAATAAATAGGCCATTTCCGAGTTACCTTGTGCTTCTGTTTTAAAACGAGTCTTCGTGCAAAATCTTTCATAAATGAAAATGAGTTTGATTTGCATGAAAATGAACCTGTAGGCGTTACACATTTTCATATGAGGAAGGAAGCAGGTATTAATTCTTAACAAAATTTATGGCAAGTTGAAACTCGAAAGATTTTAAATTTTTATTGAAAATGAAAACTGGCATTTCTTATACAGGTAAACAAATACATCCAAACTCAAAAGGAAAAAAATTGTATAAATTTTTGAAGAAACGGACTTTTAATGAATTCACAAAACAGAAGATGGACACACGATTAAGCAAACATGTTCAGGACAAAAACAAACAAAATGGCTCCATAGCTTGCAACCAATCCAAAGGCCTTACCTGGTGGCTGGGGTTTTGCTGTTGTCTCTGGGATCTTGTTACACAGGTCGCCGTCACAACAGTCAGCTGAACAATTGGTCAAGTTTCCCGTCTGGTTGACCAGTTTGCAGACTGTAATTAGAAGAACGAAAGATTTTCAATAAGCCACCTCTGAGTTGCTTTTCCGCTCTGTTTCAAAAATGAGTCCTGGTGCACAACCCTTCATATGGAAATGAATTTGATTTGCAAGATAATGAAAAATAATGAAAATTTTTGAAAATGTAAGGTGGCTCTGAACCCTACATTCAGAATTTTTTTAAACTTTACCAAAAGTTGCGTCTTATCATGCTTATGAAAAGTTGATAATGTAAAAAACGGTTAACCGTGCCGTTTGTGACTAAATAATAACCGTTCTTGCGCTTCTCGGCTCGCTTTGCTCGCCGAAGTTTTCACCGTCCTCGCCGGGAGCCTGTTCGCAGGCTAACCAAATAGTAACTATTTTTGCACTTACTATAGAACTGACTGTTCGGGTCACACGAAATGTTGTTGGAACAGTTCCTTAGCTCGAGTGACCTCGAGCCCAATTGTCCAAGAGACGTGGTGTATTTCACTGTTATGCATCTATCGAGTAACCCTAACGTATCGCAAGTAATATTCTCAGCTTTGTCCCTTTCACAACTGTTTCCTCCAGGAAGTCCTGGCTGGTTGGTACACGCATAGCATTCAAGACCAAATGCTGTCAAAAATTAAAAAAAGATAATAATAAAAAATAAAATAAAATAAAATAAAATAACATAAAATAAAATAATAAAAAAAATAAAATGAAATAAAATAAAGTAAAATAACATAAAATAACATAAAATAAAGTAAAGTAAAATAACACACAGAGGCAAAAGGCAACTCGAAAATTGCCTATTAATAAAATTTAATAAATAAGCAAATAAATGAATGATTAAATAATAAATAAATAAATAATTGACCTCAGAATGTTTTTCTCCTGTCCAGGATACTTTTTTCCTACAGGAGTTAGTCCACTGCCTAATAACTGTCTAAATTGGTAAACAGTATGACTCGAAACAGAATAACCTCTGATCTTGTTATCACCCAACTTTCATGAAGTGATTTCGTGAACAGGAAAAAGGAAAAACTTGTTGGCACGAATTTTAGGATATGTTTGGAATCTATTTGGCATTTGTTTATTTGGCACTGTTTTCATTTGATACTTACTCAAGCGATATCTTTTCATATTTGATTAACTAGGTATTTCATTTATTCGGGACTTTCTCCTGCCACCTATAGAACTGATTATGACGGGACATATTCCCTGATACTCTTTGAGTACGTCGGTTAATTTGCTTGTAGGAGAAGATTTTTCTATTTTTATTATTTTTCGTTCGTTTTGGGGAATTGAACGTATTAGTGGTATTTACTAAATCTTGGTTTTGAGTAAACAATTGTTAAGAGATCGTTTTAGGGGCTTATTATCGTGAAAATTATCAAAGCGTTAATAAACCACCAAGAAAAAGAATAATGTTCTTTTACGAAATGTTCAGAGCTCCGTTGTCTGCTAATTAAACCGGCCATCCAAGGTTATTGGAAAAGAAAACATCAAAAAAAAAATGCTAATAGCTTTTGAAGGAAACTCGTTTATGCTTTATTTATTTTTAGATAGATTTATTCAAAATACTCTTATCTATACTATGGGAGTTTTGCGTGTTTATCGTAGCTGATCGTGTTTGAGTAGCTTTTCAATTTATGTGTTTCCGTCTGTTTTGACTTACAAAAGATTTTACAGTAACAGAACCATGTTGGAACTGTTCATTTAAATGTTCTGGAATTTGTTGATCAGTTTTTAAAATAAACTTAAAAGTTTAGTTAACGATTAGTAATGTCTTCGGACGACCTAACTTAACTTCAATCTTCTGGCTAAACTCTGAGGAACGATTTGGCTGAACATATTCTACAAACACGTATTTTTGCCATTTTTATTATGGGTTTACTTTAACCTGTAAATCTGGACAAACAACCAAACTTCAACGAACTCTATTTCCGTTGGCATTTACGTTACTTTCATTTAGGACAACATTACATTTAGCTAACATTCAATCCGAAAACGTAACTCCAGCTGGCGTGCCTCCCGAGAAGCAGTATCCTTAAAGATAAAAATTTATTTTAGATTGTGGCGAGGTCACACATTTATGCATGCATAATGAGGAGTTTTCTGAACCTTATTAAAATCTTGCTGACCTCTACATTTCTAACACCTCCGAGATCCTTTCTTCTCAATCCGAGAGTTTAAACGTAAATTTCGATGCTCTTTCAGTCTAAAACTTAATTCACTTTTCATCAAGACCTACACCAAGGTCATGGCCAGCTTTCCGACTGTTTACTTTCTTTTTTTAAGCATTCCTTTGCATAGAAATCTCTTGAAATAGGAATTTTTGCACAAGTAAACATACCGAGATATGATAATGAAATCTCTTATTTTGGGCAACTCGACGAGTTGAAATCACCTTCTTATCCATAACAAAGATATTTGATTTAGCGACTTTTAGTCAATTAGGTTTCTCTGACATAAATATGAGTGCCAAATTAAATTGTAAAGGACTTGTAAGATCTTGAAGACACTTGGAAGACTTGGGAAACCTTTGTACGCCTGACGAAAATATCCAATAAATTATACAGTGTTGTGACACAAAATCTGCTTCGCGACAAACTGAAAGAGAAGATTTACGTTTCCTTGACACGATACTTTCAGCGTAATCCTTTACAGTTTTAGCACAGCAAGGTAAACGATACAAAACACTGGTTGCAACTGATCAACAAATACTTGAGGTGATAACAGAAGTACATTTGCTAAAGATAAGTAGGTTCTGGAACATTTTTCATTTTTGACGTCGGTCTAAGTTTTCAATAAACCTGGACCAACATGGGTCAGTTTGCAAAATTTGCACTCGATCGTAACAAAGAAGAAAGCGTATGCCTGTGCTATGCTATTTTAATTTCCTAAATCTCTCGGTCTGTGATGATTGCCCTAGGCATTATGCATTTTCGCCAGACAGCAGTCTCTGATATTGATTTTGTAGACACAAGTTAAATTGGTTGAATGATTCCATACTAAGTCCTTCAGGTATTAGACCACGTAGAAACCGAAATCATTTCCGTCTTGGATTCTTATGATGGGAAAACTAGACCTCGAAACGATTACAATGAAACCACTTTGCAATCATCGGTGACAGAATGAATTATAAAAGATGCAAAGACGAAAATCAGTGAGAAAGACGAGAGTGCAAGAATGGCATAAACACTGAGTAGAACACGAGAATATGTCTCGGGCTGTTCAGGTAAGGTTTTTGTCAGGGAAGAACAGACCTGTATCAAGGTTAACTGAGTAGCGCTGACTTCGACATGCTTTCTGGGTTGCTTTGCCAACGTCGAGTCTTGACCGAGTGTGAATTTTGTCTTGTGGACTCCTCTACTTACTAGGGAGCTTAAGCAAACCACGACGACGATGACAACGAAAACGTCACCAGAAAAAGGTTTAACGAGCAAAACAATAGCTGTGCACGTGCGTTTTGAATCTTTGTACATTTCTTTGCCGTCCTCTGCAAACCAACAACGTGAAATGACCAAGTTCTGCGTCGTCTAAGGAACGTGGACGACGACGGCTAATTTTTCGCATTTCCATTTGGAATTGACCGTTGTCGTTGCATATTTAGCGTAAGCACGTTTTTAGAGTCATTGGCCTACTTAACAGATCTAGACAATCGCGAATTTCGCAGGTAAAATATAAATTCATCATTTACTAGGCGTTGTCCTCGACGTCGTCGTCGTCGTCGTTGCTTAAGCTCCCTACTGTCAAAGAGTCGTCGCCCTCGAGTCATTTGAAAACATGAAAACTGCAGTTGTTTCGTAAGTTCAAACATAATGGAGTTAACTTACCGAAAGGCATCATGCACAGAGCCAGAAAAGCGACAAGTACGACAGGCAACGTTTCCATGATTCCCCAACTCGCGGAGCAGAGCTAGATGTAATTTGAAATGCTGCAGCGAGCAATTTAATATCCATGTTGGCGGTGCCGTTATGCTCTTTTTAATTCATTGTTTGTAAGCAATGATGTTAATCAAATATCACTTGATAGCGGCCCAATCAGATTACTTAGAATGTTCTGGTCAAAGAAAGAAACGGAATACTGCGATAGCATTCGCCCCACCCCTCTCTGATAAATATAGATCACGAAGAGGGAGTATTCATGAGGTTTACATGAACTAGTAGGATTGATGAATTGTTTTCAATTCTCCCTGAGATGAAGAGTAATAATGTAGAAGTTTTATTTGTGTCATTTTGCAAAATGGGCTGGCGCTATAGGAGTGCGTTACTGATGCTATTGGTGAAGAAAGAGGGAAAAAAAAGTTCCTTGCTGTCGTGCAAGCATAATGACATTATGTTCCTGTTCTGATTTATTCCAGCCGGCTGATTTAACAGACAAATAGCTCTGACACGTATATACGTTTGTTGCTATCAAGATTGTTTACCCAGCTCTGATGTTTCACGCTTTTATTATGCACACCTACAGCTACAGCGAAGCGAAAGAAAAACCTTAGGTTTGAAGTTTGTTTTGAAATAACCACACGACAAGCTTTTCGACTTTAATTATTTGGGGGCCTTGCATTTTCATTGTTTGTAGTTTGTCTAATTAAATGCGGCGCCAGTCATAACTGAACCTGAATAGCTGGGGTCAGTTTGAAGTGAGATTTGTGCTATTTGTGTACTCGATAACTCATGGCATGACGCAGCAATGGAATGGTGATTTCATTCAGCTAAGTGTGCCTTAATTCGTTTTTCCAATTAAATCTACCCTGCCTACCCTGACCAGCATATAGTTTTCTTTCTTTTTTTGTGTAAGGACAAAATATGAAATGGTTTGGATGACTTTTCAGCACTTGCTCAGAGCAATGTTCTTCGATTTTCACGCTATTAACGAAAGAAAGTCGCAAATTGAAGCTTGCAAAAGACAAACAAAAACAAAGCAGAGCTTCAAGCAAGTGCTCGACAAGAAACTATATTAAACTGAGAACCGAAAGATACTAGTTCTTGGTTCCAAATTCCCGCTGTGATAAAGAATAGCCTTGTTGTTCAATATTACACAGATATGTCTGAGCAAGAACTGATGATTGCCTCTTGCTGTCATACATTACAGATTATAATAAAGTTTCCATATAACGCGCGCTCTGATTGGCTGAAACAGCGTGCTTTATCAGAGAACAGAGCACGGGTTGATGACGGTAAGTTGGCTTC